TTTTTTTGCCCGTGTGGGGTGATCCGATCAGCACACAAACCCCACGCCAATAAAAAACAAACAAACAAACACAAAGGAAATTCCACTAAAAATAGTGTGCTACGTGATTGAGCCGTGAATATAAGGTGGGTTTCAAATTTGTTTACGATTTAATTAGCAGGAATAAACATTTATTGGCCCGCAAATTCCAGTATTATGTTTTTCATTCCCCAACACTCCAAAAAATAAATCTCGAAATTTGCATGGAGAAGTTTTCTTTTCATGGTGGGATGAAAATTCATTTGTTCAACTTGGAAAACTTCTGTACTTGGGATTCTGTGATGAGCCGTGACCCGTGAATAAGGTGGGATTCAAATTTTTACAACATAAAAAACAGGAATCAACATTTATTTTCCATCTGGGCAAGAGTTCTGAAACTTTCACGTCGTGTACCTGATTCCTTGCCGAAAGAAAAAACTACTCGCAAAAATGTGCATGCAGTCCTTTCTTTTTTCTAAATGAGAATATGAGATGCACACTGATTTGTCAAACTTGAAATTATTTTGCAATTCACTCTCCTGTGATTTCATTTGCATTTGCATGCATGCGTAATTATCCTCATATCATGTACGTCAATCTCTATATAAGCAAACTGCACATCAATAACATCACCCAAACGTCAGTCCACTTTGCTTAAATGAATACAAATCCAGTAAAATCTAATCGAATCTACATGAGTGGCGGGTTTCTTCACATCCGGTGGGAAAGCTGGGATATTTTGCACTATACTGTACTTGTTATTGAAGGTGCATGGTTAGAAAAATGCCTCAGGGTTGCAAAATCCGGGAAGAGTAAATTCTCCATTATTTTCAGAAATATTAAACCTGTGTTTGGACTTTGGAATGTGGAAAAAAATCACCCAGTATGAGGGATTTTTACTTGTATTTTTCAGCAAATATTTTGCTGGAGAGAAATAAAAATATCAGGCCTTTTTGATGTATTGAGTATTTTTCGAAAATATCCCAACTTTGCTGCAGATTAGGGGTACAAAAAAAAGGTGAATAGGAGTCAAAGTTAACTCACATTGTGCTCTGCGATGACACTTATTTGAAATCAGAACCTCTCTTTGGTATGCAACGGAAATGTTCTGTGTTTTTTTGTAGTACTGCATATTTCTGAAATTTTTAGCCTCTTCTGTCAAACGAAGCTAGGAAAAAATTGCATTTTTGAAAGAAGAGGATGGCGAATGTTCGGTTATTTGTTTTGAAGGCTTCTCTATTTCAGTATGTGTTGCTGTTTATATATTTTTGATTCATATTTAACTCAATCGAATTCAGGTAATAAATATTCAGTTGGGGAAATATTAACGGGAATACCCGACTTATTATCATTATTATTATTTGAGGAATTTATTTACACCGTCACACATGCCGAACTGGGTTGAACGAATGACGACAAGTTTGATTTAGTTGCTGGCAAGGCAACGAAGCAAACGTCAATGCGTGTCCAACACGTTTTAGTGGGCCAGGAAATAACACATGGCCGCGTTTTAGCCAAAAAAATCCATAGCCAAGGTTGTGCTTGGGTATCCAATTCTGCCCATTTGATTCGCATACAGGGTCAGAAGAGACTTCACCCACCCTTGACCCAGGTTTGTTCTGACAAGGGAAACGCGGGAATACGAAGAAGGGACGCGAAAAATAAATACAGTAGTAGAATTAGTCCGACCTTCCAATACACGGTTGGCCAGAAGAAGTGAATCAATTTTTTTTATTTGAAATAGATTGGTAGCAAATTGAGATGTGGCAATGAAAAATCACCAAATGAAAGCTTGTTCAATTCTCTCTCGAATGGTAGTGTAGTTTTATAGTTCTGCTAGGGATTGAATGCTCCTAACAAAGACATGTGCTTAGGATTTAAAGTAAAACGTACCTATCAGCCTGGGACTGGCTGATGGGAGCCTCTGTACTTTTGAGGCTCCAAGAAATTGAGGTTTATTAATGTCCCAATACAACATTATTCAACGCAGATAACTTTTCAACTCACATACAAATGATTTCATACAACACAAATATGAGTTCAGACACGGTTTTTGATGGTATTCAATGTCCAGTTTTTAGGTATAAATCAGCTTCAGAGATGGCAGTGGAATGCATTCCTTGCTACATGTTTTGGGAGAAAGAAGAAAAAAAGGCAAGAGGTTTTCTTTGTGGGCTAGATCTTGGTCTCTGATCAGCTGATTTTTTTGGAATCAAAGACCAAGCTGTGCATTGTTGTGCAATTCTTTTGGGATTTGTTCTTTGGTACTGGGCTTCCACCAAAGGACCAGGTTTTGGGATGCAACAGGGATTGTTATATTTTATTTCATTCCCACTGTGAGCTGCAGTCCCCAGCAAAAGTAGGGTAACTATTTGCATTTGACATAGCTATTTGTGAAGATGACCAACTCTTGTCCAGAAGGCTCCAGTTCAAAATCCAGGAGCATCATCAAGACAACAGATTCAAACCAAGGAGCCTTCCATAGCAAAGAATATTATGAACAAAAGCATACAGATACAGTAAAACAGAGACAGGAAAGAATACAGCACAAAGAAGGCAAAAGAAGGGAGTAAATAGCAGCAGATGAATGGGGAATTTCTTTTTTTTTCTTTCTGTCAGACATCAAGGCAATGCCATTGGTATTTTCTTGGGAATGGCAATGGCAATTCAATGGCAGGCAATATATTTCCTTTTTTAATTTGCATTGCTGTGAAAAATTGGCTATGAAATCCCAGGGCATTACCAATGTCCCTTCTAATGCTAAAGCATTGAAAGGCAACCAAAATGATGTTTCCTCAATGTTTCAGGGCCAATGCCATGCCAATGCCTTGGCAATGCAATTTGCAATGCCAGAATTATTTGCTGGGTTGTGACCATTCTGTGGTACTTGTAGTATAAATGCACCACACCATTTGCAAGAGAATTGAACAAGCTTACAATTGGTTATTTTTTCATTTCCAAAACTCAAATTGCTACTACGCTATTCAACTCAAATTGTACTGTTTTTTGGCCCACCCTGCATGCTAAATCTAATGTAAACAAATTTCAGGCATAGACTGATGCTAATCTTTATTTTTGAATTGGATAGGGCTAAAAGTTGTATATAGAGCAGTGTTCCTCAACCTTGTTGGGCTTGCAGACACACACATTTAACTGAAATATTTTGCAGACTGGCAACTTTTCATGAAATTGTTGGTGGAGTGTGGACCAGCAAAGCATTCATGCAATTTTTGTTGACCAGCAGAAATATACAGTGTTGTAATATCTGCCAAGAAGTCCTCAGAACAAAATTTGTATTACAAAAGTTAAGTCATGAACTAAAGGAAGCAGGTATTCAAAAATAGACAGCTAGGCTTCAAAAAAGGCTCCTTGCATAAAAAAACCTAAAATTATGTATTTTTTGTGTGAAAAAAATGTCTGGAGTGTTGATAAGAGAAAAATGAACATTCCTTTTCTTTAGATTGTTTCCTTTTTCATTTATCTTTCCAAAATTTTGGATAGCAATAGTACACTTCATTACTGACCTTTATAAAGTTTTCATGCTGACAAAATTTTCTTGGGAACCAACAAAAAACTTCTGAGGACTGGTGCTGGTCTGTGAACCACAGGTTGGTTGGGAACACTGGTATGGAGGAATAAAAAATGTTTTTCAGGGTCAATGCAAAAGGTGCCCCACAATTTGACCATAATCTCTTGCTGGGCTACAGTTGAATTTCAAGACGGTTCAATGGCAAGACACTGTTTAAATTATTGAATAGAAGTACAAAAACACAAAGAAAGAGGCTGGAAGAGGTCAAATTTTGGCACTGAGGTCAAATTGAGAGTCAACTTCCCAGCAATTTTGAACATCAAATTGCAGGATGGATGATTTGCAGGAGGACTGATGAATGGTGGCAGATTGAAGTGAGAGGTACCACCTGTACCAGAAATAGTTCTCTTGAGGGAAATACAGTCAACCCCTGTCTAATGGACTTGATTTGTGCAAGGGATGAGTCTGTTAGACGAAAAGTCCTTTACAGGAATTCAATTACATAAAAAATTAAATACTTCCATTTTCAACACTAATTTTGAACCAAAAGAAGTCTGTTTGGCGGATTTTGTCTGTTGGGCGGGAGGAAAACTTGCTTGCAGAGCTGGTCTGTTTGTCAAAAATCCCTTACGCGGGAGGTCTGTTAGGCAGGGGGCCACTGTACAGTGGCATTTCCTGTAATATGTGTCTGGTGGTAAATCTACGGAGGGTTTTGTCCATTTCAACCAGTGCAAAATGAATCAGATACTTCAATGAGCCATTATGTGGCCAGGTACCTCATAAACAAGGCCCTTTGAATCTATGCTCAATATACAAAAAGTAGATAGAACAAAGATAACACAGTGCAGCTGGGCAACAACAATTCCTCTGAAAAAATCAGAACATTTGAGCACATAAAAATATCAACAAACAGTCAGAAGACACAAGATCCTTCTTATGTGATACACTTGCTCAGAATGATGAGATTCTGTCCTTTGGGATAGCTCCAAGATTTCCTCTCTCCTTTGTCCCTGCCACTGGTTTGCCTTGAAATAGCAAATCAATTGAGCAGAAGGGATTTCCTGCTGCACACGCTCTGCCAAATACGTATCTCTGACATCACAGTGCTGAGAAATTGTCCTTTGGTTGCCTTCTGCCATCTCATAGCAACCCAACAACATGAGAGTATAAATTGTTTTATTTGATGGTTACTGATATATTGATGCAGTTCAAGAACAGACCAACACAGCTCCAACAGAATTTTACAGTCTTTTAATTAATTTAAAAAATGGAAGAAATATTTGTGGAAGACTACCTACATCCGGAAAAGAGCTTGCCTTGTCAAAACTGAGTAATTTTTTTCAAAATTTATTTCCATGACCTGGTTTCTACATTTTCGAAATCAATGGAACGCTTCATTGCATCCTGTTAGTGTCATGAAAAAAAATCATCCAACGCATATAATATTTTCCCTCCTGGATACAAAAAAAAAATTTTGCATCAAAGTTGCCTATGAAATTTTCATGAAAATCCCGGGAACCATGCCTGTTTTTTGTGTGTGCATATTTCTGTCGCCATTCTTCGGGTTCTCTGACCCGTGCCAAATTGACACATTTTATCAATTTATTTGCCTCCGATCACGTTACACAGAATAATTCGTGAAAATAAATACACAGGAATCCAGACATATTTCTGCCTGACACTTTTTAAAATCAAAGAAAAAAATGATGCACGGTAGTTTTTGTGAGTAAAAATATTCAAGAAAAAATGCATGCACAAAAATAATATTTCCATCGATCCAAAACAAGTTTGAAGGATTGAATAACGGGTTGTTTGGCAACCGAAGGTTCCAGCGGAAATATTCAGCCAATTTTTGTTTCAGATAATATGCGGTTTTTATCTTAAATAATTCAAGCCATTATGGGTTCAGAAAATTCTGCGCGTTGGGTCTCTTCCAAATGCAGCTTCGCTCGACGCTGTTTCCTCTGTGCCAATTTTTCTTGCAGAGTTGCTTCTACGTGAGTTTTTGCGGCAACTTTGCTGCTGTGATACTGATTCATGTTTTCCTTGTGTTGGGCTGTCAGCTCTTCCAGTTGACCTAGAAAAAATTCGAAAATTCTCGAGGTTTGAAATGCGCAATTATTGCAAGCCTTCGAGGGTCAATTCACGAACGAAAAGAGAATAATCTCTCATCACATTGACATTGCAAAACAAACTTCCGAAAATTTTTGAAAATTTCATAATTTATATAACAGCTGGGATAAATGAACAAAGTTTAAAAAGTGAAGGTGAGTTGTGCCAATTGCTCAAAATAATTTTACCAGTTCAGTTTCTCCAGATGTAACACCTATTCCTTCAAAATTTCAAACTTATAAAATACAGTACTTCATTCAAAACTCCACCCAGAATTCTCTTCTCGCAATCTTTTTGAAACAGAGTATACATTTTCGGCATTTCAAAAATGAAATAAAATCAGAGAATATACAAATTCATGCTCACCAAAAACATCTTCTCTGGTGGGTAATGGAGCCATTTTGAAATCGTCAGGCAAGGTTCCCATGTCAGCTGACTCGATTCTGCTCATGTCCATCTAAAATATTCCACAAAGAATCCTCAAACTTCGTTATTTGTATCAATTCATTCAAGCAGAAGACAATGCTGAAACCTCTTATGAAATATTTGCATATGAATACAAAAAATGGATTTTTACTCATGAATCATGATCAGACATATTTCATGCTAGTCTTTTCATATTTTAAAATACTCATACGCTCTGTTCACCATAAAAAAAACTGATGCATTGTCCATGAGTGCTCTTCTCGCATATTTGTAGATGAAAAAATCTTGAATTTCAGAACTTAATAGAAGTGCAAAAACGAGTTACCATCGAGTTATTTCTGACCAATCCAGTTCCGCTCAGGTTTTCTCCCAGCGCCAAACTTGTTTCCCCAAGACCCGAATTTGGGGGAGTTTCCAAAAAATCCGGATTCACATCAACTGGACGTCCATAAAGTTCATGCAGCTTGAATAACAATAAAGAAATAAATATTTCAAATTGTAAAAAAAAGATGTAAACAATAAACGACGATGCTGTATGCGGGGACAAGAAATAAAATATAAATGAGGGCTTCAACTCATAGGCCTCAGGTGCACATGAGAAACTCGGTTTCTAGTGTGTCACAGCTGCACGCCCCGATTTTAATCAAAGTTTCCATTCCACCCAGAGGTTGATTCAATTAAGCTTAATGAAAACCAGCTCAGCAGATGTTCGAAATTTCAATCTGTATACGCCTGAGTTGATTTCCTAATTCATCGGAGATTTTCGAAATATCCCACGTTATCATGCCTCTAATCACAAACGAAATTGAACAGACATTTTTCCCATTTTTGGTAATTTTCTTAAAACTGGAAGAAATTCAACCATCTCTTTAGTCCGCGCATTGACATAAAGGACATTTTTTTTAAAAGAAAATGATTATTATTCAGAAATAAATCGTGAATTATTCCTAGAAAAATTTCTGCTTCCGATTTCGAACGCTAAAACGTTCAATATAAAAGCAACAAACGTCCTTATTCTCTTCAAACATTATATTAAAGTTACGTTTTTTTTGGAGCTCCAAATCGGAAAAAATCCAATCGTATCATTTTCTCAACTGAGATCAGCCTCGTAACAAGGATTTTCGAAAATCCGATTCTTCGGAAATCCTGAAGGATCCGGAAAAAAATGTATGCTTTCGGATTTAAATGTGAAACGGCCCAAACTATGAAAAATAAACGTTTCTCTCTTCCTCCAGAAATATATTTTGAAGTCTCATTTTTTAAATGAACTCAAACGGAAATAAATTGAAAAAAATTTCTGAACTGAGCTCAATCACATCAATTTTCATGTAATACGATTCATCAGGAGGAAATCCTAAGGAATTCGTGAAACAATTTATGCTTTCAGATTTTAACTCTGTAACTTTTCTCAATAAAATATTTAAAAAAAACGAACACGTGTCTCTTCTCTCCCAAAATATTTTCAAACTTACATCTTTTTTATTGTTGAAAATGAGCTCCAAACTGGAAGAAATTCAAGCATCTCTCAATAACTGAGATCAACCTCGAGAGTTAATTTTTTGTTTCATACAATTCTTCACAAAAAAATCTTGAAGGATTCCTAAACTACTTTCAGCTTCTGCGTTTCAAGTCTGAAACGTCCCTCACTATAAAAGAAAAAATATATTTTTCCCCCATGATTATATTTTGATATTCAATTTTTTTTAAATGACCTTCAAACTAGAAAATTTTTAAATGTTTCTCAATTTAGATCAGCTTTATGCCATCATGCCAGAGAATTTTTCATCATACAATTCTCAAGGAAGAAATCCTGAATACTTCCGGAAAGGATGCCTGCTTCCGAAATTCCATTCTGAAATGTCATTCTCTAATTAGAAACAAAAATCTCTGTCTCTTTCCCTCTCTCTCCTTAAATTATTTATTATCCTTTGTTTTCGTAAATTAGTTTATTTAGATCTTCTACAATCTTTAAAATCCGGACGTCTCTGGATTCTCCAATTGTACAACTTACCGTCGCAAGTTATGTTTAAGCTAATTTAGACAATTTCTTGAGAGGAGATTTCTTGATCCTTGTTACCGGGCAAAGTAAATTCAACTCCTCTTTTATCAAAATGGGTAAGTGAGCTTTATTTTGTGTTCAACAGTAGAGATACTATACGCAACAAACTTCGGACAGCAATGAGCGCGCGATCAACAGAGAACAGGCGGCTATATAGATTCGGTCAAGTAAAGTTGGCAAGAATGGTCAGACCCGGATCTGACCTTATTCTAGGTGAGGTTGCGTAACCTTGTGGCGCGTGACTCGCGGGAGATCATGGGGCGGAACCGTGAGACAGACAACGTGACTTTGTTCAGAGCGTTGTCTTTTCAGTTCCTTTCATAGAACCAATCGGTCGGTTCTGCAATCTTTTCCTGGTGGCTCCAATTTTGACTAGGGACTTTTTTATGTCCTATTGAGAATTGTCAAATATTGAATTTTACATTCCCTTAATCCTTTTCAGACAACATTTCCAAACAAATTTGCGCTTTAGTCTGCTGTTACTAATTTTTTCGCGAAAAGTAAATAAAATGAAGTTTTCAATCAGCAAGTCAACGCACAAGTTAATCAACAAGAATGTTTTGTTTCGCGAGATTTTTGTTTTTGGCCTGCGTGGTTTTTGCGTTTGATGACAACTGCGTAAACGTGGGCCAAAAATAATACTGCGAAGATGTCTGTGAAGCAAGGCATTCTTTGTACTATGATGACGAGGTGATCTTTGTTGGTCGTGTTCTGGACTTGAAATGTGTCTCCATTCGTCACTTGAAGGTTGGTTGTTTTTCTCTTCTGAAAAGTAGAAATAATAAATGTCAGTGTTTGAAATTTTCAGAAGGTAACTCTGACCACTCAAACTTGGTGCAGAGGAACAATGACAGAGTATCTCAAATCTGTCATTAATCCTTTGTGGCTTTGTCAGGGCATGGAGCAAGGGACGGTTACTAGTACAAGTACTAGTACTGTTATTTCCTCCTCGTCCACAAAGAGTAAGTTATTAGCATTTTTAACTCGTTGTATTGTCTGTTAGAAATATTCTTTTCAATTTAGAGTCTGTAACCAAAACCTTTGCACCGGACTTCACAACAATCGAATCTTCGGTTGTTCTGGAGTTCAGTACAGAGACTTCAATATCTTTGTCTTCTGAGCGGACAACTGTTCCGTCCAAAAACATCTTCATTCCTGGTCGTGTTGATGAGATTCCGTTGGAGGTGGAAATGCGTTTGCCTATGGAAAAGCTAGGAAAATCCAGTAATTCTTCTGGGTTACAAAAACATTCTTGGCTTTTCTATTTGTTGATTGGCATGAGCATTTTTGCCTTTTTGCTTCTCATCATCCTTTCGATTTTGGTCTACATGAAATATAAGCCTGTAAGTTCTATTGAATCTTTTTGGAAAATTTTCTTCTTCAGTAACCTTTTTGTTGTTGATTTAGACTAGAGCGTTGGCCACTTCTGTTGAAGATGCTGTAAGGATGGTTAATCCATTTTTCGATGACTCTGAAATCATTGCTGCTGGTGTTCAACCAGTTTCGTTTGGTGAGGCTTTAGAAATGGCTGAGAGAAGTCGAACTTTTGCTTCTGTCCGTCCCTTGCGAATTAAACTTTTGAGTGAGTTTCAGGATTTTAGTTTTTCTCTACAATATTCTAATGCATTCTATATTTACAGAATATCAAGAGCTGCAAGAGGTTCCATTATCTACAACAGCTCAAGAACCAAACACAGAAGAATCCACGTGTTAAAACATTCAATGAGTTTGAGTGAGTTTCAGGAATTTAGTTTTCCTCTGCAATATTCTAATGCATTCTATATTTACAGAATATCAAGAGCTGCAAGAGGTTCCATTATCTACAACAGCTCAAGAACCAAACACAGAAGAATCAACATGTTAGGACATTCAATGGGTTAGCACGGATCGTCTCCACCGGAAATCAAACCGCTTCGTCAAAAGGACTCGTCAATTAGTGCAATTTTTCGTCGCTGGCTTTATTTTTGTGGCATTAATTTTATGCCAAAATAAAATTGCGTTGCTTGTTCAAATTTTGTTCTTTACTTTTTATTTTATTGTCATAATCCCGGTTCTGGGATTCAATTGTAAACAGGGATATTGAGGCACATCAGGGGCCATTCTCGAGGGTAGCAATTCTATTGTCGTGTTTTCCAGGGCGCTCATGTCCCTTTGTCTTCTTCTGCGTATAATGTATCTAATTTTTGCATAACATAGATAC